TAGATGCAATCAATCAACATATAAGTCCATGTATGGAAGGAATTTTTTAGAATAGATTTTGTGAGATGTGATTTTTTATTTTTATTATTTTTATTTTTATAAGATGTGGTTAAAGAGTAAATAAAAGTTATTGATAATTTGATATCCGCATGTAAAATTATTTTTCTGGGAGAATGTATGATTGAAAACAAATTTGAGAAAAATATGTTTTAAAAAATAGGGACCAAAAATGGACTAAAATTTACATATTTGTATGGAGATTGATCAATGTTCCGCATTATATCACCATGTGCATCGTTATCAATGACCATTTAGTTATTGCTCGCACGGAAGATTGGTGATACTTTAGTTCGTACTTTTTTCCTATTACTTATAAGTAATTTGTGACTACTCGAGATTTTGCCCAAATATTTTTCAATTTATTACATAAAAATGCTACATTGACAGTCGAAAATATAAATCTTGTTGATGAGTTTCATATCTCGTAGCTCACCATCATATCTCTCCTCATTTAAAAGTTAGCACCAACCCTTCTATTACAAATAATCTCTTTCAATTTTTTAAATTTTATTATGTTTTAGTTTGAAACCAAAAAATTGTGTATAAAGTTCGATAAATTTTCAACGTATGGTTATTTATTTATTTATTAGTCTAAAAAAATTTAAAATAACGTTAAGAATAGGACAACCTTTATTACATCAAGACTTCGTCTCGATACGCGTAGATTTGTAAAGCTTGAAACTTGACCTCCATGCCCTACCACATCGTAAGTGTGATAAATTCTCCACCGATCACGATATTTGATTTCTAAGCAGACATTTTGCACCAGTTTGCACAAAATTTACAGATTTCAAAATTTTCCAGTTAGCTTGGAGTTGCTGACAAATTTGGACGTAAATATGCTGGGGCTATGTGAGTTATGAGCAAAATTGGAATTGTACCATTTGATTGTTAAGCATACTGATTTTGTACCAAGAACTGCATGTAAATATTAACAATGTCACACAATTAGGAGTTTAAAACTTGTTATCTTATTCATGATCCATGCTGAAAAATTCCATAGTGGTCACCAGTGCGACGGCTTGATCAAGAAAGAAGAATATAGGAAAAAGAAAATAAGTTACAAAAAAGAAAGTAGCCTATCTACACCAGCACAGATAAACTGACATTGGCTGGCTGATATTTGTACAATACAAGAAAGGAAAAATTCATTAGTAGACTTCCACATTCCATTGCTCTGCCTTTTTCAACTGCTTTTTATATTCTATCCAGTCAATACCTATAAAAGCAGAACAAGAAAACGTTATCACGCTTCTGACTTAAGTATGGGAGACGCTTATTTGTTTTGCAAACACTTATAAGGAAGGAGGCAACTGACTGACGCCAAAATTATATCAAACAGCTAGTAAAGAAATATAGGGTACTAAATTTACCATCTTTAGCAGCCAATGAAACCATTATGTCGTCAATTCCCTTTTCCATGCCCTTCAGTCCACACATGTAGACAAAGGTGTTGTCTTTCTTGAGCAATTCCCATAGTTCTTCGGCATATTGAGCCATCCGAGTCTGGATGTACATTTTCTCACCTTTCTCATTGGTTTGTTCTCGGCTAACAGCAAAGTCCAACCTAAAGTTATCCGGATACTTTTCCTTCATTTTCTCAAATTCCTGCCCACCATACCATATGATCAGTCTAGTGTTCTTTATAGGAATGGATGGTAATCACAGAGGAAATTATAAAAATTGTCATGAAATTGTTAATCTCTATACCATTTACAATCATAAACACTCAATTGTGTTTTTCATTTAGTTTTGCCACCAAGCGGTTGTAGCACGTAGCATGGATGTGGGAAATCAGTGATGTTTACCTCTTTGTAGAGCAATGAGCTGCTTGTGGGAACACCCAAGAAAAGCCATGCCAAACCATTGAACTATAAAAAAAAAAAAAAAATGCCAACCATTTTAAATTAAATTTTAAAAAAAGATCACCCATGCATACATTAATGAAGAGATATCAATGGATTAGGGACTACCTTGTAGTCGTCATGTTTCTCAAAGAACATTTTCCACAAGAATCCACGGAAAGGGGCAATTCCAGTTCCAGTGGCAAGCTACAAGTGAATAGATATATATTCCATTCATAAGAGAGAGTAGAAATTCATTTTACTGCTTTATATAATAACAGAATAATGCAATCAAGCATATTATTACCATAATTACGGTTGCATTAGGATCTTTTGGCATAAGCATTTCTTTCCCAACAGGTCCAGTTATCTTCGCTTCTGATCCAGGTTTCAAGTCACCTAGAATTCAGATATTTCAGGTCACCCTGTGATACAGCCTTAAGTATTCTAGACTAAAATGATAAAATAGTTCTTAAATAAAATAGTTCTTAAGAAAAGATGCTTAACCCAACTACAACTTCAATCTGAGAAATGATAGAATGTGCATGGTCATGTCATTGAAGACTCAATTTAAACAAATAGTCCTTTAACTGAGCTTTTGAATGACTCTACATGGTACTAAAGCGTTTAGTGTTGTGGAGTTTAGGTCTCACTGTCAAAGACATAATTTAAATAAGTTGTTCATCTCTCTAACATGTCTAGCTTTTAGATGTGATGGTTCAACATACATTACATGTTTATTTGTTGAGTTTCTACATATATAAAATTGAGTTCTTACACAAGAAGTTTGAGCAAACTCCTTTCACAATTTCTCCTTGGTCGTTGGTGTAAACGAGCCTTTTAACACACAAAGAGACCTACATGAATATTGATTGAAACAACTAAATGAATCCTTAATGAGCCAAAAAGGGGAAGAAAAACAAAAAAAGAAAAAGAAAAAAGAACTGCTAATTTAATGCCCAAGTAAACAGATTAATAGAAAACATACAGTCTTAGAGTCTCCAAAGTCTCCTAGGGCACTGCTTGCAATTGAATACAACCTCAGCTTATGAGGCTTCCCATTCTTGTCAACACCATCGGCAATTATCCCAATGGATTGGCCTTCTCTGTAAGGGATCTCTCCTACGCAAAATCATATCAGCAGTTTATTAGTTAAAATATCGAGAATCAATCAGTACAATACAAATCCCAGAACAGACATTTCATCGAACAATTTGATGCATGTTACAATACCCTCAGTGGTGAAGACCATGTGCCAGGTTTCTCCAGGGGCATCGTCGCCAGTGATCTTCGTGTTGAGAAGGCACCTGCCAATGTATGGTTCCTTGGGCCTGTACTTGTTGACAACTACCCCTTCTTCCTGTTTCTTGGAAATCTTCTCGGCCTTGGCAGGAGCCTCCGTTGTGACCTGAGCTCGGATCACCTTCCCACCACCAGACACATTTCTGTAGTACAAGGGCACCTGCAAATATAAGCCAAATTCCTTGTAAATTCTGAACAAGACCATATAAAGATCATATGCGAATGGTACTGGTAATGGTAATCATACCTTGTTGAAGTTGATTCTTTCTGGGGGAAAAATGGCGGTTCTGGTTGGAAGAGAAATAGACTTGGAGGATGGAAGAGAAACTCCAGCACTCACTGCAGCAGCCATGATTGAAACACTAAAGAAAAAGGCGATCAAATGATATTAAGTGAGAAAGCAAGGAGTGGGAGGAGAAGAATTGATGGGTGGAAACTGTTTTACGGGAGATAATTGTTGAGTGGATTATGAATTGGTTGGACGAGATTACAAGGCCAATGCAGTGGCAATTGTGAGGATAAGAAATTTAGTACGTACATATGACTCAAATTTCGGCCTCAAGGATCTGTGTCTCTCTCTCCATAATCTAGCAGATAGTGCCCTAAATATCTCTATTAGATTTTGGATTCACCCTTAGTAAAATATCTAAGGGCCCGTTTGATTGTAAAGATGAAATTTAGATGGAAAGAAAATGAATTTCAGAGAATTAAATTGCCTAGAAGTTGTTTTCCTGAAAATTGTAAATTATTGTGTTTGATTGATATAATTTTTCACGTGAAAAATATTGAAATGAAAGTATTTTTTAGTGTTCGTTTGACTTTTTTTACATGTAAATTGTCAATTTAAGAGATATCTTCTTTCACAGTTGTTCATAGAATTTAGTTCCATTGTCAAAATAAATAAATAAAATTACATCAGCTTGGAAAATGAATTTCATTTTCCTCAAAAACCAAGAAATGGGGCAGCGTCAATTCCAATCCAAGAAAATTTTTTCCCTAGAAAATTTAGAAAATCAAACATGCAAAAGTTGGAAGATGGGGATCAAATTCCATTTTTCATGGAAAAGCACAACTAATCAAACAGGGCGTAAGGGTGAATTTGATTTCAAGCATAAAATTTACATGAAAGGAAATAAATTCTGGGCAATTAAATTATTTAAAATTATTTGCTTGAAAATTGTCAATTAAATATGTTTGTCTGATTTAATTTTAAATCTAAAAAATATTATATTTATCCATTTTTTATTAGTGGGTAGACGAGAGAAGAAGATCAAGCTTCTACAACTTAGATAGGGGGATACATCCCCGGTTGATTATGAAAGGAGATTTCAGCATTTTTCTCGTTGTGCACAACATTTGGTGGATATTGAGACGAAAAAAGGTTAAGATATTTGAGGAAGGACTGCAACTTGAGATAGGCAGGGGCGGAGCCAAAAATTTTGTCCAGTGCGGGCAAAATTTAGTCAATGTCGGACTTTTCGATTATGGATTTAATGATATTACAATAATGCTAAAAATGACATAGTGACAACACTAACAAGATTATCATTTTCTTTCTTATTCTAGGATCTGTAGCAAGTTGTGCATCAAAAATCAATTTTATTTAATATCTCCTCATCAACATTTTCTACAAAATAATTTTTTTTAAATAATCTCTCCATTGACATTCACACTAAAATAAACCACAAGTGACAGTTAAATACTAATTGATAAGGAAATAATTACAATTTTTTACAAATTGGTAGAACACAAGAAAATCATCACTAATTGTTTGACTAATTGACAAAAATTAAGATTTTAAGAATCCATCACAAATATTACCAATATTCAATATTCACATAATCATAATCACTAATATTAAATAGAAAAATCACATGATCAAGAAACTTTTTGCTACAAATTTGAGGGTCCAAGGAAACGTGGGTTTTAAGAAATAAATGAACTTTGAAAATATTTCAAAATGATGGTAGATTAAAGGAAATTTTTTAATTTCTTGTCAAGGGGAAAGAGTTAGAAAATATCACCGTGCACTTGGAGTTGGGGTAAATTAGTGTATCGATTGAACTATAAATAAAAGTAAAATCCAATACTTAAAAAAAAAAAAAAAATAAATGCCCGCCCTGGACACTGAGTGGCTCCGCCACTGGAGATAGGCATGATTATAATGCAGCATTACTTTTCCATTTATCTGGAAGTAATACGAGGACTCAGGTAATCTCTTGCAAGAGAGAATCATTTGAAAAGTAGAATCAGTAGAGTGTATAATCGTTTGAGAAGAGAAAGTTGAATGGTCAAAACAAAGAAAAAGGGAATGGGCAAAAAAATAAAAATACAAAATCCAAACCCTGGAAATAGCTCCAACAAGAATACTAGGATGGTTGCATTATGCCCAAATGAAATAAGGGCCACAAGGGTGAATGCTTAGCTAGATATAATATGTGTTTTGTTTGTAACTAATCAGGATATATTGCTTTGAGCTGTAAGGATGCTCTAAAGAACGACGATGACTAGAATAAAACAAGAGAAAGGCTCAAATTTTTGCTATGATTCAGCAAGCAATCAAACAATATCCCAATGTGATAACAGGTATTTTGTTGGGTCTGATACACCTACTTATATTTTTTTATCATAAAGCTGTGAACTCTTTTATCTCTACATATTTTATTGATAAGTCTAGAGTTATATATGATAAAACAGGTAATGAATTGTCAATGAGTAGTCCCTTTTTAAGAAACTCTTAGTACTAATCATATAACAAAAGATATTAGGCTACAGTCTAATGGTGAAGTGAGAGACGCAAATTTGTATCTCTTAGAGGTGAAAGATTTTGGTATCTTATTAGGTATAGATTGGTTAGGGAGCAATCATGCAACTATTCAATGTTAAAAAAAAGAAAAAAAGAAAAAAAAGATGTAGTTACGAGTGAACGAGGTCTATTTCTTTAGAGCTAGACTTAAGTTATTTTCATGCCTTGTGTCTATACCGTAAGCGAGGAAGTCGATGGAAAAAAATCAATGTCATGATTACTTGGTTAACATAGCCAGCACACAACAGTTTGAGATATGGTGGTTAATGTATTAGTTGTGAAATTTTTTTTAGATGTGTTACGTAAGGATTTACCTGATACTCATCCAGACAAGCAAGTAGAATTTACAACTAATAGAATAAGAAGTAGGGCTATTATCCAAGAATCCTTATAAAGTGGCACCAAAGAACTTGCATGAGTTGAAACTACAACTGCAAGAGTTGTTGGATAAGGGTTTTATTACATTGAGTGTTTCATCATAGGGTGCTCCGGTACTCTTTGTAAAGAAAAAAAAAATAGATCGATAAAGATGTGCATAGATTATCGGGAGTTAAACATTTGACTATCAAGAACAAATGCATCTTCTGAGAATAGAAGATTTTTTCGATCACTTGATTGTTTTTATTGACTTAAGGTCAAGATATTATAAACTGAAGGTTAAGTCACGTGACTTTCCAAATATGGCATTCAAGAATACATGGGCATTATAATTTTACAGTTATGTCTTTTGTTGTAACTAATGTTTCGACATTATTCATAGATCTAATATCTCGATTCATTTGTTAGTGTATTCATTGACGAATTTCATATGTACTCCAAGGATAATGACCACCATGAGAAATAACTCAAAATAGTATAGGACATATTGCTAAGAGATAAATTTTACACCAAATTCAAGAAATGTGAATTTTTGCTTAGTTAAATAGGTTTCCTCGATAATGTTGTGACTTTTCAAATAATTGAAGTTGATCAGACAAAATGGAAGTTACAACCAAGTGGTCTAGACTATCTAACTCTAACAAAGTTTGTAGTTTCTTAAGAGTGGCAGACTATTATCGAAGATTCATAGAAATTTTCTCCATCAGACCGATGATTCAGTTGATCAGAAGGGAATTAAATTTCAGTGGTCAGAGAAATGTGAACGAAGCTTCTAAGAGTTAGAATAGAGATTAGTTACAGCACTAGTCTTGATAATAATGGAAGGTTTAGAAGGGTATATCTAGAGATGTCAACGAGTCGAGTTGAATCGACTCGAGAGTCGAAATTCGAGGCTTGGGCTGGGCTCGGTTAAAATGATCTAGCTTTTTTTGGGGCCCGAAGCTTGGTCAAAAGAATTAGGCTCGACCCAAACTTTTGGCTCGAGCCTTTTCGAGTTGAGCAAGCTCGATTTTGGTTTTGATTTTTTTTTTTAATATAAAGAAGGCAGCCTCTGCTGCCTTAAAATTAAGGTTTAAGGCAGGAGGTTGCTGCAGGGGCCGGCTTGGGCTTTGCTCGACACCCCAAAATGGGGCTCGACCCAAGCTTCGGCTCAGTTCTCCCGAGCCTCAAGCCGGAAGGGCTCGAGCTTTTTCCTAGCTGAGCCACGGGCGCCTCGAGCTAATGAGTCCGATTGTCATCCGTAAGTATATCACATATATCGATGCATCAAAGCAATAATTTGGATGTGTGATAATGCATCATAGTAAAGCGATTGCATATACTTCGAGACAGTTGAAACACTATGAGTGTAACTACTTAACGCATGATCTAGAACTGTGAATGTAGTCCATTTGTTAAAGATTTTAAGAAGAGTACAATATATATACGGAAGATTCTAAAATATTTCTTCACCAAAAAAGAACTTAATATGAGATAATGAGATGGTTGGAACTCATAAAGGACTATGACTGCACTTTTCATAACCTTCCAAGTCAGGCTGATATGGTCATTGATGCTTTTAGTCTAACAAAAGTAGGATAGTTGGTAGCTTTATCTATGAAGAAAGAGTAACAAATTAAGGATTCTGAAAAGATGAGAATAGAAGATGTTTATCCCAATCGAACAACAACAAGAATAGCATCTTGGAAAGTTCATCTTACACTTAAGGATTGAATTGTATAAAATTAGAGAATGGGAGATTTTTTACAAAGAATAATTTTTTTTTTCTTTTTGGTGAAAATGAAAAGACTTTCAATTATATCCGGAGGACTTACTCATGTTTAAAAAAAAGGCTATGTGTACAAAAGGATGAAGCTCTAAGAAATGATATTATGGAAGAGGCTCACTTTAGTCTTCACACTCCTTACCTTGGGGGTACAAAAATATATTGAAGTGTTCGAAATAAATTTTGGTAGAGAAATATGCAGAGAGGGATATAAATATTTTAGCAAGTCAAGGTTGAACATCAAAGGCCATCGGAGTTATTGAACATGTTAGACATTTTTGAGTGGAAATGAAAGCACTTCAATATGGACAATGTGGTTAGAATTTTAAAGTCGGCAAGAGGTTATAATATTATTTAGGTAGTTGTTAACTGATAGACTCTCATTTTCTATCAGTGAGAATGAATTTTAGCATTAAACAATTGGCACAGTTGTATATATGTATAGTTATCGGGCTACATGGAGTTTTAATATCAATTGTATTTGGTAGAGATACTAGACTCACACATCCAAATTCTGGTAGAGTTTATAGGATGCTATGGGGTTTAAACTAAAGTTCAATATATCATATCATCCATAGTTGAATAGTCAATTAGAAAT